TATTAAACAAATAAAATATATTTTATAAATAATTTATCTTACATTTTTCTATCATCTTCCTATTACATTTATTTTTCAATTCCTTTTTTTTCTATATTTATATATTTAAGAATTTTGTTTAAAAGAAATTATTTGTTATATTTTTTCTGAGACTTTAATTAAATATGTGTTATATTGTTTTAACAGTATTATATTTAATATATAATGTTTCACACAATCATACAAAATATATTCTATAAAATATATTCTATAAAAGATTAGTAAATATTGTAATAAAAAAAAATTTCTTTAAAAAAGAAAAAATATACATCAAATGTATAAAAAAGGTATCCACGATTAAGTTTATCCTAATCTGTTATAACTTATCTATCTTAAGGCAACGGATGTATGGAATGCATCATTTATCATACATTTATTTATCATATATTTTATTAAATTGGTGCATATATGCATTTAAATATATAGTGTATTAATGAAATTACCACACATCCGTTATCTCAATAAAAACATCAATTCATCACTCACCAATCCGATACGCAACAGCGGAGATCTGCAACGTCGCTACGATGTGATTCTGTAACAAATAAATTAAAATCCAAATTAAAACAAAGCAGAAAAATCAATTAATATTTTAAAAAATATTTATTAACGCAAAGTTCTTTTAAAAATTATCGTATAATTTTCAAAATACATAATTTTTATAAGCATCGATTTTATAAAAATAATTATACATTTTCTAAAAAAAAATCTTAAAAATGTATATTTATAGAATTTCAAAATAATTTTAAATAATTCTTTTCTTCTAATTATCATTTTTAAATCATTGTAAAATAAAACAATTCAAGAATAAACAGAAGAAAGATACTGATATTACACAAAAATGATATTTACCGTAAGGTTGCTCCGCCGGTGCCCGATGCCTCTCCCAGACCTCCTCCTCCTCTCAGAATTGGGTGACATCCTCTCGCACGAGACACTCGCGTAAAACATTCGCGAATAATACACTACAATCGCGCGCGGACTAATTATTTATAAAAGTCTTTCGCGTCGAACTAGAATTCCACCGAATAGGTTTTATGAAAAATCCATTAGTCCGATAACTTCAACGGCACTCCCGAAACAAACATGCGACGCGACGAACCGACTGCGGTTCGTTCATTTTCAATTAAATCGGCGACGAGGGTACGTTAGCTTCCCCATCATTGAATTTTTACATGAAGAGAATGTGATTTTACTTAAGTATTTAAAAATTTATCTAGGTATATTATTCAGATAGATACGAAAATTTTTAGATACTTGAGAAAAATCATTATTTTCGTGTAAATATCCTCTGGGTCCTCTTACTACCACGTAAAAGTCGTACCCGTGAGAGGGAAGATGTCATCTGAAAAATATAACACATATAGTTATTATCTATAATATATTACTATGCAATTATCGATTAACTTTTAGAAATATATATCAAATACACGTCAATTTGTCACCATTACGAAATAAATTCAGAGCAGATAAAAGGGCTGAATCTTTTATTACGATGTCTATAAGATATAATTAGAGTCGATGGAATAAGCCAGAGATAAAAAAAAAATAGGAATATTTCTTTTATTACCGACAAATAATTCCAAAGTTACACTTAATTTCTTATACGAATCGTATAAAGAAAGATGTAAAAAAACAAAAAATTAATTAAATTATGATATATATATAAACTATAATATTAGTTCTCAAAGTAGAAATAGCATGGATTGCGTTATTTGCATGAGAGTATTTATTAGCGTTGCTTTTTATGACTCGTGTGATATCATTCGAAGAACATAATCGAGATATACTCAAGCGAGAGAAAAATTTACGTTAAACAAAAATAATTGTCGTTCGTAATTGTCGCGAAATCGTAATAAATTCTGTTTTCTAACGCGTTTTGATTCCAAATGAACCGTACGAAATATCTATTTCATAGTATATGATTGTCATCTCGATCCTTCTATGAATAATTAATCGTGCGAGCTAATAATCGTATACTAAACATAAAAGTACAACGTTTCGTACATTATCTAGCATTTTTCGCAATTACGTTTCAAAAAGAAATGTGAAAAAAAGCGGCACGCGACACAGTTACCTGCCTGTACGAGTGTCGATAATGGAATGACTGCGCAGTGACTACTGACTACACGTAAACATGACGTCGTCTGCCTGCCCGGCCGCGTCAAAGCAAACCACAAGGTCGCGTGCCGATCAACTGTCGAAATATTAACGCGTATTACAAAATAAGTAATCTAATCGTTACATTTTAAATATTCTCCGATGAATAGATTTTATTGCATGAATAGGTTTTTGGTTTACTTCTTACATTCGTTACGCACTCAGCTCATGAATATTTTAGATATTTCAATTATGTTGCGATAAGCGATTATTATAGTTCATTATAACTTCTTATTATACGAAATCTTCGCAATGTATACAATATTTTTAATAAAAGATTGATGTCTTGCGGCTTTTTATTACTTTCGTATCGTTTAATTCTATCATTTATCTCTTATTTCGCATTCTTAACTCTATCCAGCAAACGAGAATGGATTAAAATGAATTGAAATTTTTTTCTATCTGAATGCGTATTTTAAATAGTGAATACTTTTTTTGGATTCAATTGGATTCAATTAGATTGAAAAACTGCAAAATTTTGAATTGAACAGTATTAACAATGCAGAAAAAACTAATATTATTTTTAGATTGAAAGGCATAGAGAGGCTCCATACAATTTCCATAAATGAATAAAAATGCATTCAGGATTGAAAAGCATTCATTTTAACATTCGTGAATTGATATTTCTGAAAATCTGAATTCTCCATTTCAATTCATTTCAATCCATTCTTGTTTGCTGGGTGCTACACATTCTTTTTTTTTTCTATCCTTGATACATACATACTCAGGTCTTTGGGACCCCATATTTGTTACCGTAATTTCCGTAAAAATGAACATATTTCAATTAATTTTTTTTTTCAATTAATGGAGAATTAATTAAGGAACAAGTCCATAATATATAAAAGTCATATAAAATTAAGGAGCTTCGAGATATATAGATTCAAAGAAGAAAAAAGTTCAGAAACACGATTTATAAAATTACACTGGAGTTTCTAGGATCCCAGTGTGTATAGCTAGTATTAATTCGCACTATTATTTCATTACCTAATTAGAAACGAAATACGTTTGCAACAGACATAGACATATAGAATGTAGGAATTACAAATTACTGTTTTATTTAAATTGGTATCATATTTTGAATTTATTGCTAATTTAATTAATAATTAGAAATTACTAACTGATTATTTGCTATAATTATACAGTGTATATATGAAATCAGAAAATAAAATCAACTGAGCGACAAGAATTAATATTCTTTCAATTGTAAAATAAAATTGAAAATTTTTAAAAGCGCGTAAAATTAAATAATGTAATAACAGTCTATTATTAATTACCATTAAGAATTACCAATGAGTGAGTTCAGAGTTAGACAAGATCCCGTCTCTGATTAATTTGCGAAACGTGCGACGTCCCAAGCGTCTAACTTCTCTCCACGTTCGAGGACGACTGACCTTTCGCCGAGATCATTATAATTCGAACTAGTCATACTAATACAAGGCTAATAACAAATTGAAAAAAATGGTAAAACTGTTTAGGGGACCTCGCTCCAATCATTCTAGCTTTGACACATCTTATCAAGGCCATTACTCTGAATAATACTCAAAAGATTTTAGCTGTCATTGTTTATTAAAGTTATTAATATCAAATGTGATTATATCATGTTTTACTACAAATAGGACCAGATGGTATTAACATTTATTTTGAAATTTTATTTATTTTGAAAAAACTGTATTTACATATTATAATTTAACATTTAATATTAAATTTTCTAATTGTAATAATTAAAAAATCGACGTACAAGCTGTAATGATAATAAAAGCGTACTGAGCATATGATACATTTCCTCTTATAAAAAGGGAATCATATCTATCGAATGAGAGTAAATTACCGATAGTAAGTATAAATACTGGACAATGTGTTTTATAATATTATTAATATCAATTATTTGTCATTCTTTACATTAATGTTGCTCGTTTTTTTCCCAAGTTTCTCAAAATAAGATTCTTTATTTTATAAATAATTCATTACATATAATTTAGTAAAAAATATTTAATGATAAATTTCATAAAGTTATTAAAAATAAAATAAAATCACTTCTCTTTTTATTTCCAGCAATAACATTAATTTAAAAACAAAGAATTAAAAAAGACTTAACAATATATATTTTTTATTTCAACTGTTCCAAGAAAAGAAAAAAACAGTTCAAATTTTCTAATCCATATTTCCTAATTCTAATTTCTGATTTTCGTGTTTCTCAAATAATAATGTTAATTAAAATTATTTTATTAAAAATTTTTTATTAAAATTTGCATCATCAACATTTCTTGAAATGATTTGTGCATAATTTTACAAATATTTGAAATCAAATTTAATCTACAATCATATAAAAAACAGATTTAACTTTATCATTAAAACAATATAATTTTGGAGTAAATAAAATGAAGATTTTTTTTACAAAAAATCCTGTCAAAATTTGTCAAGTTTAAAATTTGTATCTTGCAGAAATAACTATCAACAATTTTTAATACTTTACATTAAAAAGAATATATACAATTTAATTTAATTTAAATTTTGATACCATTTTGATTCTTAACCCAACTACTATTTAATTAATATAATTTCTTTATTAAATAAAACTTGTGAATGAACCGTATTAAATTTTTATTTTACATGTAAATATTCGGTTACTAATTTATTAACAATAAGCTTGAAATCAAATTTAGCAATCGTTTGGCGATTGTCCAATTGTTCGTATAGTCATCGCTATTAATCTTGAAGAGCAACACGTCATAGTAACAGGAAGCGACTAAGACAGCGCTCACAAAGTAGTACGATAAATAGTCTTCGGCGAACGTGTTGATCGGACAGTAACGACGCCGACGCGACGGTAGCAAGGACGGCGGCGCAGCTGCCGAGAACGTCGTTTTCACTGACGCAACATTGATCGCGCACCTCTACGGACTATAACCTGTGCATTTTCCAACGTTTCGTTGCGATTCTGCGAAATTTTGCCGTCCGATAAAATTCAACTAAGGTCTATTCATCAACCTATATCTCACGTCTAAATTTCTGATTGTACGCAATATCATCTATTATTATTTGGGCGGCGTGTGCTCCGAAAAATAAAGACCATGAAGAGCTCCGACTAATAGTCTGAACAACCCCACGAACGAAACCCGACAAAGGTGGAATCATCGCTTTCGGAGTAAAAGTTTTGTGTAACACCACCCGATGTGTTAAGTGTGTTGCAGTTTTGGTATGATCTGATTCTTTAAATGTTAGAAAATAATAGAGAATTGATTGGTAATTTGTGGCGCGACGAACGTTCTTGCGCAGCGTAAAATATAAATAAACAGAAATGTATTATTATTGTTGTGTTATAAACATAATCGAGATACCACACACACGTCTCTTCTCTCTCTTTTTCTCTCTCTCTCTCTCTCTCGAATTTATTTTTATTTTATGATGAACGGAAAAAGAGAGAGAGAGAGAGAGAGATTATTCAATGAGAATTTTTACCTTATCATATCCGCTTCCGCTTCATGGCCTTTATGCTTATTCACATGTTTTTACTTTTTCATACAGATAACAATTGCATAACAGTTTACGCGTTCTTTAAACATGACATGTCGCGAATATTTTTATCAACGTCATATTATTATATTTATATAAATGCATAAATGACTACCCCAATATATTTCAGACAGACTCGGTACGATTCCTTAATGCATCAAATTAAATAAATTATTAATATTATTAAATTTATCGAGATTTAGTAGATGTTATAATGAGATATTTATTGTTGGCTTAAATTGTTGTTCACATTGTCTATGTTATTTCTATATATAGTGAATGCAAAGTATTCATATAGAGAAGATATCTTTTTAAAAATATATAATATAATGTATTTTATTCTTAATCTATTTTATTCTTTATTAATAAATTGCTTATTAATATAAACTCAAAAAAAATTATTTTTTAAAAGTTAATATTAATTAGCAATTTATTGACAAAGAATTTCGAGTTATAATTAAATTAACTTAAAATTAATATAATTGAAACGACTTGAATTTCGGTTTACAAAGCCTTCTTTAGTGTCAACGCAGAAATATAATCTTACATTAACAAATAACGAATAACAAATACAAAATTTAAAAATCTTCAATGGTGAAGTCTAAATATAAAAAAAAAATAAAAGAATATGAAAAAATACAAAAAAAAAGAAAAATTCGAACGTCAATAAGTATCCTGCCAGATGACAAAAAACTAGGAACATTTGGATACTTCAGTCAATAGTAGATCAAGTATGTTCATCAATAAAAATAGATTTGCCAAATTCCTCGATTGAAATCGAAAATCCAGTTTGTCACAGACTTGTATCAAACGATTTGGGAATTCTTTCATTACGAATATTTTATGATATTCTGTAGAAACAAATAGATTTAAGATATATTAGTGAAAAAAAAGTACAGAATCAAGTAATAATTTATGATAATTTATATAAAATACTGTAATCTAAATTCTCCAACAAAGATCCGGTTAAGTACAAAATAAAGATATTGACTGTCTCTCGTTTGAAAATTAACTAATAATGTGACGTGTAGATCAAATAAAAGTAAGTCAATAAAATCGAATGTAAAAACAAGTCTATTCAAAACTGTAACCATTTATGTTCTCATGTATTGTCAAGTATGTTAAAATAAGAGTTATCCAATAACTCAGTATCTTTCAATAAATTTAAATCGTTTTTTTTGTTTTTTAATGTGTATCACTTCAGAAATATTTCTTTTACGATAATTCTTTTCAAAATCAAGAATACTAACTTTCCAATTAAAGTCGTGATTAATTTCAGTAATATGTTTCGAGATTACTGAGTGCTTGGACAGTCCAATTTTATATTATTGCGATGTTCTTTAATTCTTGTCTGCAATTGTTTCTTCGTTTGGCCAACATACGATTTTTTTATATTTTTACCATTGAAGGTTTTAAATTTTGTATCCGTTATTCGTTATTCATTAATGTGAGATTATATTTCTGCGTTGCGATATTGAAGAAGGCTTTGTAAGTCGAAACGTTTGTTCAATTATATTAATTTTAAGTTAATTTAATTATAGCTCAAAATAAGCCATGACATTATGTTAATTTAAAAAAAAAATTTAAAATTTTATTATATTATTTGGACGCACAAAAAGTATTCCATACAATCGAGAAATTTAGCTTCTAAAGTCAAGAACATGCCAGACTCTTTTATTTATATTAGAACAAAATGTATTTAAATATTATAAAATTATCATTAAATTGCTAATATCATATAATAAATTGTATCTGTGTCATAAAGTTAATTACAGTATTATATAAAATATTGTTCAAGCACATGTGAAGGTAAAAATTATCTCTCTTACAGAATTATTCAAAGAACGTCGATGGCATTTGAATTGTGACACTGCCCTTGATTCAATCGTTGCAAAGATTGATACTAATGAGGAGAGAATTAAAAGGCCTATGAATAGTCATCAAAGAGTGAATGACCGTTATTCAACAGCTGCACCGATGCGAGATTCTCTCCGATAGCGGCGTCGATCGTAGACGTCGGCGATTGACGTCATTATCATTATCATCGGCTTAATAATAACAACGATTACACATCGAAATCATGGAGAAGCAGGAGTTCTTCGCAAATCTACAATATCTGCCAATCGCTGTTTTTATCTCCTTGCCTACAGTTTTCATTTCAACGTAAGTCCAAATAGTTAATAAATTATTAAAAATTTTATATATTTATAATAATTTATTAATATCTGTTAATTCATTAATATCTATATTATTGTATTTATTAATGTCTTGTGTATAAGAGAGGATGGTACACGCGCGCTCATTTCTATCTAAGTCAACTTCTATCAAATTATTCAAAAAAGTTATTTCACAATTCGCAGATATGTAATAGCTGTCTTACTAGGACACGTGGAAGCTGGTTTTCCTTACATTTCTGATACAGCGACTTACGCACCAGAAAGTTCTATCTTCTCTCAAGCTGTCAACTTGATCACTATTCTCAGTAAGTAAAATATATGTCTACAATGTATTTTCCATAAACAATATAATATCTCATCCACGAACATTTTATATATATTTTTTATATCACATCAATGAGTTTTCAAAATAATCATAATCCGAATAGCTGCACCGAGATTATATTACTGTTTACAATTAATAACATTTACTATTTACAGTAACATTTCTCTCACTATTAAAATAAGGAAACTTTGCTGTTATTTAATTGAAGTTTATTATTTAAAGTATGTTAAAAAAAATCATGAAAATTATAATAAAGTTATAACTGCTGTAATAGATAATAAACAATCATATCGTAACATATAAATTTTATGCATCATTAAAACTAATCGCAACTCGTTTTATATTGCAGTGGGTTTTGCGATCTATATAAGATATTCCCAAGTTAAGGAATGCATTAGCTCTGAGTCACCTACAGATTCTTTGCTTGCAAAATGGAATTATTGGGCTTTAATTTTCGGCCTCATGTCAACTGCCGGTCTGTCAATCGTCGCAAACTTTCAAGAGACATCAGTAATAATAGTTCATCTAATCGGTGCATTTCTCTGCTTCGGAAGTGGTACCGCATATTTTTGGACCCAGGTACGTATGAAAAAATTACATGCTCCAAACAACGCGAAAGTTTATTAAATGCTTATTGACATGTAAAGATTTAATACAGAATAAACAAATAAAAAATATATAATTTAACTGTAGATATAAGAATAAAATCGATTGCTAGCATAACAAAATAGGTAAAAGAAGCTGATATTCATCAGCTGAAAATGAGCTGATTATCTTTTTGTTACAGGCGGTATGTTCATTCTGCTTGTACCCATCAGGATGCTCGTTACGAATTGCACAGCTTCGTACGGCATTATCGACTTTCTGTACTGTGTGCTTTATTGTGATCACCATCACAGGCGTATTGGCTCATTCGGCCTATAAGGGTTGGTTCATTAATTAATTTTTAATTATTATTTGCATTGCATGTAGTAGTGTTAATATTAAAAATATATCCTGTAGGAACAAATCCCCAAAAATGGAACAAGGAGGATGGCGGCTGGGAGTTGCATGTGGTTAGCACCATAACTGAATGGCTTTGTGCAATAGCGTTTTGCACTTATATCTTAACATTCACGGAAGAGTTTAGGGATATCAGAATAATTCCTCCAAAGGTAATTTTTATGAATAATACATTTTAATACAGTAAAAAATATTTTATGTTCAATAATAAAGACTTAATTTTTTTGGAAAATGTAATATTTGCTACAAATATATTGTAGCAATTTATTAAAAAAAAAATATATTTGATATTATAAAGGAAATTTTAAGACACTAAATTTTAAAAAATTTTCTTTTTTATTTTTAAAACAATAGAGTATATAGTTTCGTACCTTCTATTAAGGAATCATGAATACATTTTTTATTATTTACGTATCTGCTAACAGGTAATATGTAATATGCACCGATTGAATTCGACTAACGAAATATTGAACGAGAGCCAAGATTCCACCGTGGTTCACGATCAAACGAATCCATCAACTAGTACCTGATCGTTCATAGGCAGAGGCGCCGGCTATGTCAATCTTCTCTCGCATTTGCCGGTTGACACACCCTGTCCCGGCTATCGGTACCGCGAATCCAGAGACAATTTGCTGGACGAAGCGGCACCGCTGGTAGCCACAACACCGCCAGCGCTGCACAATAACGCCGAGAGAAATTCCGACGTCCTCTGCCCGGTAGAAATACATGTACATGATCCTACAATACGTGAACGACGTCGACGTTCCATAAACCATCATACCGAGAAGCGACACCAAAGAATCGATGTCGAGGGCAGTTCGAAGAGATGGATCGATCTCGACGAGAATGTGTTGGACGGTTATATCTTAATCGACGACAGAAATCTTGGTCCTTCAGTTCCTGAGATTGATGGTGAGGAATTGCCATATCCTGAGGATGCCACTGATGATGATGACGATGAAGATGATGGTAATCAAGACGAAGATACTGATAGTCATGGCAGATTCAAGTGGTCGATGCACGATCGATCAAAGAGAATTAATTCAAAACAATACCAGTCTGATTTCGAGTTTGGTGTGACATATCCGCTCGCGAATAGTCATGGAAATGCCTATCAAGACTCGAGCAGTCATAATAAGTACGCAGAATTATATTCGAGACATCAAAGTGCTAGGAATAATCTCGAAATGGCTCGCGGTTTTGATACATCATCGTATACAGTAGCAAATAGTCATGGCGAACATGGCAATCCTGCAGCGGATATACGAGATCGAGGTTATAGGAAGAGCTCAAAAAACGACAATCTAATGTTGGATACATCAACAGACATGAATTACGAAATAGCCAATAGTCACAGCAATTACCGTGTATTCTACGACAGTCAAACACAGCATCAAGCTATGATGCCTCCCTGGTCCTCAGAATTATGGTCGGAAAATCGCCGCGAAGAGGCTCACGTTACGCAGGAGGAGTCTAAGGTTAATATCACGAAAAAGCAGGACAATGAAAAATACGAGGTAAGCATGAATCAATCAGAAAAGAAAGATGAACCGGATTCCGAGACTACTTGCGATATTGAGCAATGTTTGGTACAAATCGAGGAAAGTCTTTTAAATATTGAACAAAATCTCCTTCATGTTCAAGATTTAGACATTCCAGAGTTGCGAAATTTACTTTACAAGAGTCCAAGTATCGAGCGAAGCCTTTATGAGGTACAGGATCTCCTCTATGCCGATGGCATTGTTCCGGTCATTCCTAGAAATAAATCTATGTCTCTCGATTCAGATGAAGAGGAGGAAAACGAAGAGGAGGAAGAAGTAGAAGAAGAGGAAGTTTGGGTAAGTCAGAATACAACGATCAAGGATAACGATAATGAAGACGGAAACGCGGGAGCTTCTGTCGTAAACAACTCTAACGAGGAATGCTCAGATATAATCAACGTTGACCAACATAATCCCTCAAGATCGGATGATGATCATTGTACCGATGAATCAAACGTTTTAATAGAGGAGGAAAAAGACTCGAATTCTCAGATATATTCAAAGAAGAACTTTGTACTCAATAGTCTTGGCAAAACTCTACCAAGAAAAATCGCTCTAGATGAAGTTAAAGAAAATATTAGGCTGTGTTCGTCAGAACCAGAAGAACCCGCAACTACAATCGATTATAACTTGAATAGCGCATACGTCGAAAAAAAATCCCTCTTTCGCGATAAGTGGCATAGCAGGGCAAGCTCTTTGGACGAGAACTCGATCTTCCAGAATTCGGAGCTTGGTGATAAGCAAGAGAATAAACCTTCGTTGCAAGACGTCTTCCTTATGGTCACGGGGTCTCGTCGCTTAGCAGTAAATGCGAAAGCACTATCGGAAGGTACCTTGCAAACCAATAAAAAAAAACATAACAGAAGAGGATCCCATGAGGAGAAACTTTTACAAGCAGTTGAAGCAACAGCAGCAGACTTTCGGAAAAAACTCGAAAGTTTTGCGTCGCAACGACGATCCATTCTGCACAAACAAAAGAGGATAACGCCGAAATTAGCCAAGGAAGTCTCGGACAACGTGACATCACGATCAAAAGAAAAATCACCCACGAAACCAAAGCGCGCGATCGCGACGACAGCTAAAATACAGGACAAAGACAATGGTGCCGATAAAAATACCAGTTGCGATAAGCGAAAAAGGAAAAAAATATCGGGGAAAAATCAAGGTGCCTCAGAGAACGCTTTGGTCCCCAGCAAACTGATTTCACTCTCGTTATCGTTGCTCCTCGCGGCCCTTCTTCAAGCGGTCAGATGCTTGACGGATCTTGTTGAGGATGCCTTTAGGTCGGTCAGTTACGACAGAAGCGGATTGCTACAGTAAACTACATAATAAATATCGGACAATGCATGTCTCGACAATGCACCACTTAAGTGATGTTTAACGACAATTAATCATGTCACCAATAAACTTCTATAATAATTATTTAAGAACATGATATCTGTGATAAACACTATGCTTAGAAATCTTGACAGAACTTGCATTAAGCTGCTTCCAAAATATTGACGAAATTGACGAAGTTCATCTTGTTGAACGAATTAAAAAAAACTGATTTTAAAGAACTTATAAAGATAACATGCTGTGAAAGTGATTGTATGACGAGCAAAAGTTAATCTCAACAGTTGCTCTTTTTCTTTGAAATAGAAGATTAATAGATAGACACAACGAAGTAAAATACAATATAGTGTGTAATAAATCTGGATAACTCGATGGTGCTGAATACGGGGCTAAGCATGTGAACGGTATCTTAGTACTTGCGTATATATGGTCAAAAGTGCCTAAAACCCATCGCGTATCACATACGAGGTGTAATACATGATACTATTAATAACGCTATTTACGTCTACCTACATAAATCTCTTTTTTCAAGTTGTAAGAGCATTAAGAGAAAATAAAGCGGAGCGAGAAAAATGAAATGCTTGAAACGTAAAAGCGTAAGTCGCTTTTCCCTGTTTTATCCATCCCCTTTCTTTGCCACTCAAAGAATGTAAATCTGAAAATGATAATATATATTGGGCTTTTCAAGTATTCGATTAAAAAAAAATCTCTGATTAGAACAAATGAGATCGATAAAATTTTTATATAAATTGTCAATATATATTATATATTAAAGTAAAAAATAAAGATATTCTGGAATGTATTGTCTTGTATTATTATAGAATTATAGAATCAATTATAGAATTTAGTCAAAATTTTTAAATTTTATATTTTATTATAAAATGGATGAATAAACAGCTGCTATATAAATAAAAAAATAAAGATAAATTTATAGCTTTATTATTGCTGATAAAAAGAAAACAATGTGATATTTCTGTTTTTTCAACTAACAAATCTTAATTAAACAGCAATAAATCAACATTTTTATGATAATTTATGAATTACTATCACATCGATCACTACATCATGAATTTATTTTCAACAATCTCGTCGTTTTACTCGCCATCGATCTTTCTTAGTACGAATTGTAAATTAGTACAAAATGATTTATACACTATATGTATATTTTGCGCGCAAAATAATATGCGAGAAGCAAGGGTAGAATTCAGATCAATGTTTCATGCTTATCGCACGTCGACTAAGGTCGAAAGGAGGACATAGTGTAACGTGATACCGAACTATTTCAAAATGTTCTCTCAATTTCGAGTTTCTCGTCTTACAATCAGTTAAACAAAGTCTCGAGTTTCCAAATCAAAGCTATCTTTTGCAAAGCTTTTTCTAAAATTATTTCCTTGTTCGTTCATGTATTATCGATATCAATAACAACATATCTATTAAAAAATTTATATATAATATAAATAACATCATTCTATAAGATTAAACTATACTTTTCAGATATTACAAGATTGGAAATCAATAATTGCAAAATTTCATGATATTTAAATATGTAAATGTAAAATATAACTCTAGTAGCACAATTCATTGGTTTATAATATTGATTGTAAATTAATTGCTATGTGAAAATAGCCATGGATATACTTAGATCTAGATTAAAAAAGCTTTATAAACTCACCGCGACAACGCGAAGACGATTCCACTCTGATATTTACAAAGATATAAAAACAAAAGTACTATAAAATAATACGTAGATATTATAACGTAGATATTAATATATTAATAGATGTTTTAATAATATCAAAAAAAGAATTATTTTTTTCAGGATTTTCATAAGAAATTATTTTTTCAGGATTTTGATAAAAACAATTTTTTACTTCAAAAAACCAGATTTAATTCAATTTCTCTGAAATAAAAAACCGGTTTTTTAATCTCTATTCCTAACATCGATTCGCGCCACTGAACTATATATACACTGGGCATCGAGGAAAATTCGTGGCCACAATTGATCAGCTACCATTTTAGTTGGGACGATATTTGAGCAAATCAGAAGTGTTCGCGCGCGCGCTGCGATCGATGTATCGATCGATGTACTATCGATGTATGGACATGAATGTACATATGTAAACAAAAATAATGTCACTTCAATTATATTAGTATATTCAATAAAATAAAATTAATAACACTTTTCTTATATCGTTAACATATATGCAGGAATTGATACATTTAATACAAAAATTTTTACCTATGAAATGAAATGTCCTTTTTACTTCTCTCCCCCACCCAGGCACACTTCATGTTGATGCTTTGCACATTTTATAGTCACGTGATTTTATAACTTTCAAATATAACCCTACACACACGATAATCTTGCTGATGATATGCTCACTAAAGAACATTAAACGTAAATACGCATGAACACCTAAAAGTTTCTGATTCGCTCTTATATTGACCAAATTAAAATGGCGCTGATCATTTGGTGCCACGATTTTTTATGCTTCACAGTAGAGATGCCCGATGTGTATATATTTCGCGTTTAGTAGACGCTTTACGTTTTATAACAAAAATTTAATTTCAAATATCGGGCGAATATGTATATGTATTATATATATATATATATATATATATATATATACATATATATATATATATCTTGTTTAAGCAAAATAAATAATTGGTAAAAAATATATTAATTAGTAAATAGAATAAATAAAACAA